ATTCTTTATGTTAGATAAATTTTTTACAGTGCTTTAAGTACACTTCCGAATCTAACTGAGCTTACACTGAAATCGTGTCAGTTGTGTGATCGACTTGATTTTTCGATTGAGGCTCAATTTTTGCAAAATATTGCATCACGTGGAATACGTCGATGTGGTTTAGTACGTAGTATGCGTTATGACCCTGATGAGTATCACTGATTTACAAAAATTACGACTAATTTTACTGACAATCTAATTTTGTGACTTATTTTTGGTCAGTTAATAAAAAAATAACACCACACGGAGGTTAATCTTGTTTACTATCCGACTGATTGTGGCATTGAATTGTATTCGGCACTTTAGCAGTTTTATCCTGCACTCAGATTTGCTGTGCTGATATCCGCTGCTGCATCTTTGTAGAATCCACAATTGTAATCGAATTATCTTCGTCTTGCATTTCATTTCAAATCTGAGTTTATTAGCTATTATGTCATATTTTCGCCTTTTCTGGGTCTCGACCTCAGTCACCTTCTCGTGACCAGTGATGCAGTGACACCAACTCCCTCCCATCAAGATTACTTCACGTCGCTTCTTACCGTCGATCATGATATCCGGTCGATCCGCACTTACCGCTATAGCTGTTCTAACGCATGTATAGTTGCAATAATGTAGGCACATACTTTCTCAGCCCTCAGCCTCAGCCCCGAACAAATTCTGTCTTCATAAAAAATATGTGCGCATTTTTTACGAGGATCATTATTCTATGAACTACAAAGACATAATTTTTGTCCCCTTCAACTCTAAAATTTTTCAGTGAGTGGTTAGTAATAATGTACTTTTTATTGTTTCTGTTTCAAATCTGGAAAAAGATTAAAGACGTGAAGTACGTGAAATGCGCAGTAACTATGCATGAACAACTGACTGTGGTAAAAATAGTTCGTGTCATTAATACAATCACGTGCAAATTGCATTATGAAGATTTCATCCGTACTCAAGGATGCACTTTCTATCTAAACTTAAATTGTTAATGCTAATTTTTCTGCTTTAAGATCAATAATACCATTCTAATTCTGTCAGCTTACAAAAGTTAAGCTGAGATAAACAGTGTTCACATGGTTGTCGCAATGTATAATTGATGCATATAGAAGTGTTGACTTTAAAAAACTGCTTTGAATTTTCCTATAACCTTACGTCCAAGTGTTCATAAGCTCTGCAACATGCAAATTTCTCCAGATAACCTCTGCACTGCTATCACTTGCTTAAGCAAGCCTATCATAGAGCTTAACATCATACTTCCCAGACATAATAATATTAAATTTGACAAAAGGCAATTTCGTTTCAAAAAAATGGAATATCTTTTCTTGCTTTTCTGTACTGAGCTGCGATATTCATGGATATGTGGTGAAAGCGAAGACAACGATGAATGCGATATGCAGAAATTGAGATTGGTGTTTCTGAATATACATTGCAAGCCTTTGCAATAATCCTGAAATACCTGGAAACATTCTAGGAAACATTGCCTAAAAATGCATTCTCAGGCTGAATCAAATTTTGTATTTTTGCCGTGGTTTTGTTAGCAAAATTCTCATGATTGAGTGCTTTTTTAGAAAGAAAACTATGTATGTATTTTTACTGCATTACAATTATGCATCAGAAATTATTAGTAATTATGCTTGACCTAAAATTTTGC